ACTAGCCCCTGCAGTTTTCTTGGCAAGATTTTCAGAAGTGGTTTGCCATTGCCTCCTTCCTAGGGCTGAGAGAGAGGAATTGGCTCACTCTAACCAATTATTAAAATTGTAAATTGCCCACACGTTTAAGGAATATGCTTGCTGCTACGTTATATTTTGTAAACAAACTATGATCTTTCTTTTGCAGACCACTTGGACCCGAAAGTCTTCTACTTCGTGGAGCAAGGTTGAAAAACACTAAAGAAATTTTTGGTGTGTGATGTTAACATTTCACTAATTGGTTGATGTTTCTTGAATGGATGAGATTGCAGAACTTTCTGTTAGAGTAGCTATCACTAGAATATCAGCCAGGTTAGAGCACTCTTCCTAATTAAATAGGAAATGTGCCATGTTGGTTGTAATAACTTGCACCAAGAAATAGTTGATTCTGGTGCAACCATGATAGCCTGGATTCTATGTCTGTCTCTTTTTAAGTCCTGTTAGCACTTTCAGTTACTCTGTTTCCAGGAACTCACACCATTTATACCTTCTGCTGTAAAGGTTCCTATCTGTTGCGTCCTGGTCCATTTGATTTGGTAAAATATTGGAATACCATCTTTCCAATTTAAAAATCTATAAAGAAACTAATCACTAAAAAAAAAAAATGACAGTGTGAATAAGAAACAACCTCTGCAGTCACAGAGTAGATTTGGAAACCCAACGGAGTAACCAGCCAGAAACCAAATGAAGCCATCTATATCTGGCTTCTCAAAAAGAAGGGAGGAAGATGAGCCTCTTGCACTCACAGTCTTGCCGCCATGCTGAGCGTTCTTTCAATTTTTTGTAGGTGTTGCTGTGTATACAGGAATGGAAACAAAGATGGCATTGAATTATAAGAGCAAATCACAGAAACGATCAGCAGTAGAGAAGTATGTGGTTGCCAGTCGTATTTTACTCAGTTGAAGATTAATGTGTTAATTTAAACTGTAAAACAAGAGTTCATAATAAGGGCTAGTGTGCAAGGGAAGTTTTTTTTTTTCTTCAGATTTTAAACATCTCTGTTGCTTGAACCATTTGATATGTATTTATTACCCAGCTTTGCTGCCTGCTAATAAATGTTCTTGTGTTCCAGGTTAGCAAAATGAATATTTTGTTTCGGAATATCCGAATGGATTGACTGTGGACTTTGTTCTGCAAGGATGAGATTAATTAAATATAGGAAGAGCGCTGTGTTGATTATAATAATTTGCAGCAAGAAATAGTTGATTCTGGTGCAACCATGATAGCCTGAATTCTATGTCTGTCTATAAATAAATCACCATGTAAAATGGGATGCAGTCAAACCCTCTTTTGATAGTATTTTGGGAAATAATCTGATAGTTGGGTCAGTATGTGACAAAGGACAGCCCAATGATATTGAATTCATTCTGCATATCTGTTTGGCCTTTAGTGTTTTACTTTGCTTCACTTCTAATGAACCAGCCTGTATCTTTTCCCCAAACACTGTCCTATCATACCTTGAAGCAAGAAGCTTCTTGTGATCTTTCATCTTCTGCCTTTAATAGAGAAGAGCAGGTGTTTTTTTTTTTCCTTTTGCAACCAAGGGATTAGACAGAGAAAGCAAAACTGGAGGTTTTCAAGAAAAGATTGGACAACCATTGGTCTGGGATAGGACTCTTACATTGGGCAGGGGTACTATATAACCTCTAATGTCACTTCCAATCCTATGATTCTGTGAAACACTTCCTTTTCGGATGTCCAACCCCCCTTGCCCCAACATGCATACACAGAGTACAGGTTGGTTGAATACAATACAAAGATTGTTGGTTACAATTATTTTTGCTGCAGTGTTTTTGAAGCAATGTACAGATATATTTGAATTATCCAGCACTTCCTTTGTCTTCAGTGCTCAGCTATTTTTTTGTTATAGGACAGTTTTAATTCAGTGGCATTTGGGTATTAAATTGCCTCTTCACTTTGTCCCCCCAGGTCTATGAATTCTTTTTTGATTATCTATCTAATAATCCTCCTTTTTGAAGCTGTCTTAAGTACAATATTGAAATATGCCTGGCAGTCTGAAGAGAAGTGGAATGAACCTTGGTATAACCAGCAAACTGATCATGAAAGAAACAGCAGTAAGGTAAAATGTAAATTATATGCCTGATTTAGGTGTTTTTCCCTGTATCGATAGCTTGCTATGAAAGTTTTGATTCCAACTTGTTACAGAATCCAAATGTTGACCCATTCTTATTTTTAGTTATAATTCTGAAGATTACAGAAACAAGAATTTCCTTCAATTAATTTCTTGCCCCATTGTTATAGCTGATAATATGTGACTACTGTGACTTACTCTTCTGCTAAAGGGATGTTGTTAAAGAGCTCACTTGCGTAGAAGCTGTGTCTACATTCTCTTACCAGGCAAGAAGAGGGAAAAAACCCTCAACATAACAAAGAAAACTCATCTTTATATAGTAACCAGCAGTTTTAGATGAGAAAGTAGGTACATTCACATGACACATTAGGTCAAACTGAGATTAGAGTTAGTGCGTTATCTGAATCTACTCTCAGACTGATATTATGATTAAAGCCTCTCTGTCTCCCTTCAGCTATGGCACTATGTACCAACAGAGGCCAACGGAATGAGTGGTTTTTGTATACTGCTTTGAGCTCAGTGGAAAGGGGGTGGGATAAAAGTGTTATAGATATGGGGTGAGATTCCTGTTCCAGGTAAAACCTATTTGATCCCAAACCGCTTTGGGAGGAAGCATGACCTTGGTCTGGTCAGTTCTAAAGTAAAATAATGTCTGTCTTAGATGATATAGTTGGGCTATTACAAAAGATGCCCTCACTATATCAGTATCACTCTTCTGGATAATTGTACTTAGGATTATTTGACTGTATCCATTATAATCTTATAATATTATTAAATTATAATTGTACTTTATAATTAGAAGCCAGTTTGGTGTAGTGGTCAAAGGCACCAGGCTAGAAACCAGGAGATTGTGAGTTCTAGTCCCACCTAGGCACAAAGCCAGCTGGGTAATCTTGGGTCAGTCATTCCCTCTCAGCCCTAGGAAGGAGGCAATGGCAAACCACTTCTGAAAAACCTTGCCAGGAAAACTGCAGAGACTTGTCCAGGCGGTCTCTGAGAATCGGACATGATTGAATGGATTAAAAAAAATTATAATCTTTTCTTCAAATGCTTTCTCTTTGATTTTTTAGTTTAATAATACTGTTTCCTTTCTTCTCTTAGATCTTGAGCTTCATTTCAGATTTTCTTGCTTTCCTGGTGCTGTACAACTTTATTATACCCATTTCACTTTATGTGACTGTTGAGATGCAGAAATTTCTTGGGTCTTTTTTTATTGGTTGGGACCTTGACCTCTATCATGAAGAAACAAATGAAAAGGCCCAAGTGAATACTTCAGACCTCAATGAAGAACTGGGACAGGTATAGAATAATTCAGAATAGTGTTTGAAACAAGATGAACTAGATTTGATTTAATTAGTCAGCAGTAATTAAATTCATAGTTGTTCTTTTACACAGTTAATATTCCCTACGTATTTTACAATTTTTCTCCTTTTGTCACACTAAAAATTGTAATTTGGAAGTGACCTGGTAGTGGACCACAAGCAATTGGGATTTTAGATCAGCACTTCTCCCCTATAGGGTTCATTCTATAATTATTAGTAAAGTTTATGTAATATTTATTTTCCGTGTATTTATAATAAATCAATTACGCCTATTTCAGATAAGTGCAGTAAATGTACACAAGTCTGAACTGAGTGCAGTGTTCAGCATCTGCAAACCATATGAATATCCTGCTAGTGGGAATGAGAGAGACTTGCTGACTTTTTTAATTCTTAAACTTATTTGCCTGACATAACTTCTCAACTTATTGTAGGTGGAGTATGTATTTACAGATAAAACTGGTACATTAACAGAAAATGTGATGCAGTTTCGGGAGTGTTCCATTAATGGTCTCAAATACCAAGAAATCAATGGCAGATTAGTTCCCGAAGGGTTGATAGAAGACTTTCCAGATGGAGTACAGCCCAGTCTTGTAAGTTGTTCTTTCTAAAATTAAAATTAATTCAGAGCTTTCTATAGTCTTTTCTTTAAAATACAAGATTGCAAAATGATATAATGAAATAGTTCTGCGGTACAGTGAATGAGAGTTGAGAGGACCCTCTGGAAAATGTTACCATTCAGTCCTGAGGGAGAAAGAAATTATTGTACTGGTAGTCCTTGGGTTATGACCACTCGTTCAACGACTGTTCAAAGTTAGGTTGGCACTGAACAAGTGATACTTACAATTGGTCCTCAATGTTATCACTGTTGCAGTACCCCTGCAGTCACATGATTGCAATTCAGGTGCCTGGCAACCAGCTTCCACTTACCTTCCCTGCCCCTATATGCTGCTCCTGCCATTTTTTCTCCTGAGGAACCCCCACCGACCCATCTGCCTGTAGTACCTGCGTCCTTCTGCACTCCTTGCCTGGGACTCCTGCCTCTTCCCATTTAACGACCTGCGCAATCCTGTGGTTATGACGGCAACCGGGATTGCCAGGATTGCCATCAATGAGCAATGCAGTAACATGACATTGCACTTTACAACCGCATCATCATAACCTGAGGCTACCTGTATTAAGCTAGAAGCCAATACATGCTTGGTGGAAAGCAGGTGCATTTATTTAATTGCAGTCAGGCATTATTTTTTACCCAGAGGTAACTCTAAGTTCAGCACCTTCTGTGGATCTTAATCCCAGATAAACACAGAATTACAGTCTTTATTTGGAGCACAAAACTTATGGTTTCATCTTCTCCTGACTTACGTCTGTGTTATGGTCTAGTCATGTTTGTTGAGGACATTTTTTTTCTGAAAACCAGCTATAGCCTCTGCGTGTTGCTTCCCCACCCTTAGTTTTGGCAAGGCAGAAGAAAAAACCCACGAGAAAAACCATAGCAGAAAATTGATACTTAATAAGTATATTTAAAAATAACTTAACAGGGAGCATGTGTGTGTGTGTGCAAGTACTATATTGAGGGAAAGAATAAACATTTAAAAATCTATATATAATATTTTTGTCCAAAACATTTATATTGTATTAGGAAAATGATTAACAATGTACCACCCTTAAACACTATGATCCACAATGAATACTTTAGTTTTCCAGTGTTTTCAGACGATATATGTAACAGTTAACAGTAAAAATTGAAGTCATTTCTTGTCCAGGATCAGTTTATACATATTAGGAAATATAGATGTAAACTAACATTATAAAAGAAACTTGAGTGATTTAAATCAAATGAACTGATTATTCAAGTACTGTTGAATAACTGATGATGAACATATATAACTTTCAGTTTATACTCCCTCCAATGCACCCTAGAAGAATGATAATTTATATAGTATAGTCTTAGTACAATGTAATACAACCTACGGATTATTTTTATGGTCAGTTTTCAGTGATTTGTCTATACAGAGTTAAAAAGAACTATGTGCCACAAAAAATTCCAGTGAGATTCATCAGGTTCAGTGCTCAGCTTACCTACCCAAAGCATTTTAAAATTTTCAAGAAACCTTTTTAACATTTTCAAGAAACCTTTGTTTTCTTGGACTTGCAGTTCCTGATCAAAGAGTAGGTGGTAGCCAAGAGGGCCTTTGCACAAATCCATCTTGTGCATCAGTTACACCTATTCCTAGTTCAGGAGGCCCTGCTCTTGGTCATTCATGCCTTAGTCACCTGCTTGGGCTACTGCAATGCACTTTACATGGAGTTGCCCTTAAAGAGTATTCAGAAGCTTCAACTGATCCAGAATGCAGCAACACAGGCAATGTTGGGTTCACTGCAGTAACACCACTCTTTCATGAGCTAGGTTGGCTTCCTGCAGGTTTCCAAGTCCAGTTCAAGGTGTTGGTTATCATCTATAAAGCCCTTCATGGCACAGAACCAGGTTATTTGCAGGACCATCCATCTCCAACTTGTCTGTTTGTCCCATCATATCTGACAGAATGGGCATGTTCTGGGTCCCCTCTATAAGACAATGTCATCTAAAGGGACATTTAGGAAACATGCCTCCTGAGTCACAGCACCTGTCCTGTGGAACAGTTTTCCTCCCAAAATCCAGATGGGCCCCAACTCTGTTGGCCTTCCACAGAGCCTTAAAGATCTGGCTATTCCCCCAACCCTCTGGCCAGGATGTTAAGTGAGCTTGGTTTCTATGATAGTTTGCATGGGTTTGTTTTGGGGGGCAGAGGTTGAGTCACATCTCAGTGACATGGCATTGTATTGGCTGTTAAAGTTTTTTTTATTTGTGATGGCATTGTTTTAAATTGTTGCTAGCTGTTCAGAGTCATGTGATCAGATTGGTGGCCATATGAGTCTTATAAATAAGTCAATAAATTAGTTCTGGGTAAAATAATAATTATAATTGTTACTTAACTCTGCTAAATAATAATGCTGACAATTATTGCCATGACAGTCTTGTGCACCAGAGTCATGTTTATGGGTGTTTTTTTTTTTTTTTGGAAACCAGATCTTTGTAAGTGTTACTCCTGCTTAACTAAGTTTACATGAACTAAGATTGAAGTTCAGGCCCTTCTTTTATGAGGCTTTATCAAAGATAACGTCTAAGCTTACCACTGTATGAAATTTCTTTAATTCCAACTACAACTGAGATCTGTCACTATTTAGATTTCTAAGAAAACTCTGCATGTTGTTTGCTAAGAGATCAACTACATGATGCTCCATTTTTTACATTAATGTTCTTACTTTTCCTAACATTCTGTGCTAACTGAGAGTGGGCATCTGTGTTTGGAATCCTATATTTAAAAATCTTGTGTTCAATCCACTGATCCTTATTACTACTTGAATATAACATATCAATTATCAGAAAGAATTACTTTTAAATCCCATCTCCAATACCTATTTTTAAAAATGTGTTTTTACTCTGTCAGATGCAAAATATAATGACAGCAAAGCTAATGCAGTTTTAGCACATTTATTGTAATGCATTATTATTAATACTCTCCTAATTGAAGCCATTATATTTTGAGGAAAAGAAATTCAGACTGATGGTAGAACTATTCAATCTTTTGGCCAGCAGGTGGGAGAATTATGTATGCTGCCTTGAGTTGTACAAAATAAAGGCGGGATATGAATTTAATAATAAAAAAATGTATTTTATCTTGATTGGCTGCATCTAATACCTTTTAACGGAATTAAAAGAAAACATATTTAAAATTTAAACTCATTATGAAGGAGCTGCTATGGCTGGGAGGATTATGTGCGATTGGGTACTCCCAATTCTGTCTCTTGGATTATAAAATGAAGAAGCAAGAGGTTTGACAAACTAGACTTGCTACATACATAATATCTGTATGTACAATAACATATTCATTATAAGCCCATGTTTAGATATTTCATGAAATATTAGCAAAAGCAATTAACAGAAAACATTTAATAGCTTATCTATATAGATTATTAATTGTTAATAAAAATAGCTATCTTGATAAAATTGTAGATACGACAATTTGTGGAAAATGTAAAAACATCATCCAGAGTTTTCATAAAACACTCAATTTACGACATTGTTCAATGCTGTGGACAGTATTTCTCCCTCAGCCCCCACCCCACCCCCACCCCGCCTTTGGTTAGGAGAAAAAGATCATCCAGCTAGGATAGGCTGGACATTCACTATGAAAATATATAGGCTTAAACTTTTGTGGCTAATCATAACTTTTTTTTTTTTTTGGTAGAAGCTTCATTAGAGAAAAATAAAATTAACAAATCAGATTCATCACAGTGTTTTGTATTTAATTTTTTTTAACAGACACATGAGGAAGAACTCTTCCTGAAAGCTCTTTGTCTCTGTCATACAGTGCAGATTAATAATGACCAAACTGATGGCATTTGTGACAGCCCATGGCGTAGCAATGGTCTACCATCTCAGTTGGAGTATTATGCCTCCTCCCCAGATGAAAAAGCTCTAGTTGAAGCTGCTCGCAGGTAAGGCTAGGCTCTGCATCATTATGAAAGTGTAAATGGCAATACTGGATAAGTCTATCTGTTATCTTTGTCTGGAGTCCAACTGGGGAGCAAGCAAGGGGAATCCAGGTCCAAGACCTGTGCAGCCTTTCATTAACTCATACTAGGTATGCTGTTGTATGACTATTAGAATGCCAGGGATGAATTGCCAGGAACAAGAGCTTTGCCTTGGTGTTTGTAATACAATTATGAATAGCAAAGTGAAAGACATAATACCAAGCTGATTATCTCAGAGCCCTCTGCTAGAGTTCCTCTGCCTCATTGCTTCATTCAGTAAATTCAACTGATGAGTGTCAACAGAACTGTAGCCAAAATATTGCAGAATTGAAGGCCCTTGAGAATCAGAAGTGATGTAGAAATGTGAACTTGAGAGTGGCATTTAGGACACATAGCCCAAGATCCTGCTTAGTGTAGAAATCCAAATTCAAGCATCCACAGCAGACACATATCTGGCATCAACTTGAACACATCCCTTTAGGGAAAGCCTGCCATTCTCCATATTGTACACACTGTTCTTATAATACTTCAGAAGGCTTCTGAGGCCTTTTGAAACCTTACGAGAACTCAGCAGCAGGAGGAAGACAGCAAAGATCAGCTGGGCATGGGAGGGCCTGTGGAGCACAGGGCGGCAGGGGCTTTGTGCTGGGGTGGCTGACTGCAGCATGGGACTTGAGGTGCCACTCCTTGGCAGCGCTGGGACTGAAGTAGAGGCCCGAGGGTGGTTGCAACCGGCTGAGACTGCTGAAAGCCCCAGGCTTCTACTTCACCCCCACCGCTGTCGCCAAGGAGTGCGGGGTGGCCAAAAGCGCAGGGATGGTGGGGAGATAAGCAGATGGGGGGTATTGAAGCGCCCCTACGATCATAAGTGCGGGTGGGCTGCCAAGCACCCGAATTTTGATCATGTGGCCACAGGGGTGCTGCAGTGACATAAGTTGAGGACTGGGCATAAGTACCATTTGTTCAGTGCCACTGTAACTTTGAACAGTCGCTGAATGAATGGTCGTTAATGAGGACTACCTTTATTTCTCATTATTTGGAAGCTGTGCTACAACAAGAGCACTCTGTATTGCAGTGCTGGGATATAGTAACCTATCATTACGAACGGCAAAATGTGTAAGAGGAAGAATTACATGCTCTAGGGAGCTACAAAATTTGACACCGGGAAGGAAAAGGAATAAAAATGGAAGATCCAGTAGAACAGAATATGTGTAACTCAGGGTTGAACTGTGGAGTTCTTGGTGCTTTCTGAGCTTGGTTGTTTGCATGCATTTCATTGCCCAACTAAGTAACATTTGATGATGATGAAACATCTGCAAGCAAACAGCCAAGCTCAGAGAACACCAAGAACTCTACAAATAGAGGACACATGCTTCTTTTGCTTACATATATCTAATTTTGTTCCTTGTCCTAATGTAACTAAATCTATATGGCATACACTTTAATTCTGGTTGTTTAATCTATCTGCGTAGAGATTAGCAAAGTGGATTTTAGATGTCTATTTCAAAATTTAGTTAATTGATGATTAAATTCACTGATGAAATTACTGATTGCTAAAAAACTCAAAGTACTTGTTGGCTATTTAGTTCAATTTACACCATCCTTAAACAGGAGAATCTGTTCTGAAATCTGAATGCATCTTCCTAGAACAATTATTTAAGATTCTTCCTAAAAGTATTTCACTGCTATGCATAGGTAGTAGTGAGTAATATTACTTTTCTGTTCAAGACATTGTTTTAAATTTTCATAAGATTACCCAATTATTTGACCTCCCTTCGAATTTTTAGGGTTGGCGTTGTGTTTACTGGGGCAAGTGCAGAAAGCATGGAGCTTAAAAGCTGCGGAAAGCCAGAAAGGTAAAGCCACAAAGAACATGTTTCCTTGTTTTAAAAAATGGTTGAAATTCTGTAGGGCAGGAGTGGAAAACCTATGGTCCTAGAGATGTTGCTGAATGTAACTCCCATCAGCCCCAGCCAAAGTGGATTAATAAGGTCCTAATTTCTGGTATAAGGAACCTTAACCAGTTTTGAGCTTTCAAATCATCTCACACCCCCTGTGTAGAACACCCCCCTTTCACACACCCCTTTCATCTCACACCCCCTGTGTAGAAAGAAGCAATTTAGAACAGCAAAGAAACAATAACTAAGAAACGTATTTTTTTCAAAAAGGTGTTTGGTTCAGTTCTTGGAATCTTCAGTTATAGGTTTGTTGGAGTTCAGATGAAGAAGGGCCCTCCCAACTGAAGGAAGGAGAACAGAGTTAAATAGGCTATAGATTGGGTTAGCCTTTATCAGTTTGCATCCAATCCTTCCTCCAAGTAACTTAATGATCACGTATAAGAGGTGGTGGTGGTGTTGTTATTATTAGATTTTTATCCCACCTTTTTTATATTATAGATAGATCAATTGATCAACTCAAGGCAGCAAACATACCTAATATTCCTGCCTCCTATTTTCCCCACAATAACAACCCTGCAAGGTGGGTTGAGCTGAGAGAGGGACTGGCCCAAAGTCCCCCAGGTGGCTTCATGCCTAAGAGAGGCCTAGAACTCACAGTCTCCTGGTTTCTAGGCCAGCACCTCAGCGACAACACCAAACTGGCTCTTGACTCTCAATCTATGATTATTATTATTATTATTATTAGCTGATCATTATGATTATTCTCCCATCATTACCGTCTTGCAAGGTAGGTTGGAAAGATTGGGTCCAAAGTCAACCATTGAATTGTTTGTAATTGAGCAGAGTTGGCCTGTTTTGTGCACCATTTCTTGTACAACACTATTCATGAATCAATCTAAATAAGACCCTCACATTTGTTAGCAATGGCATGTGCACAATCTACAATTATATAGTCTGAAATTGCTCACTTCTCTTTCAGTAACTATATCCAGCAGGCAGTAATTCAGTGTCCTTAACTTTGTATTTCCCATGAATGTGACCTTGTCATAGTGGTGGTATTCCTCTTAAGCTACAAACCAGAAACTCCTCTCCTTAAATGTCACTTGAACAGCTAATGATACGTCAGCTTTACAACTTGCTTGCTGTGAGCACTCTATTTTCCTAAGTACAAGTTGTGTTAGGTTACACTGAAGAAATGGAAGCATTCTTAGAAGTAAGCCACTTAGAGAAACAAGATGCAGAGATCAAGTAAACAGCAAGAGCTTTGTGGAAATGGTGCGTGCAGGACCATTTGTTCCTTCCTCTTTCTCTCCTCCATCAATTAGAGAAATGACTATAATCTGCACTTCCGAGTTGAGAGAAGTCCTCTTCTCTTCTCCAGGCCCAGCATGCCCATCAAGTGTAATCTATGTATGCAGTTGCAGGCATGCAGTTTTCATGATTTTCTGCATTTAACAAGTATAGCCTTCATTTCATCCCAAAACTAAATGTGACCTTTATTCTCCTTTAAAGGTATAAATTACTATATGTACTGGACTTTGATGCCAATCGTAGGAGAATGAGTGTGATTGTAGAAAGTCCATCAGGTAAGATAAAAAATGTGGTGCTGTTGAGGTTATTTATTCTCCCTGCATTGCCTCCCCCAAAGCCAGTTCCATAAAAGGAACATTAATAGCTTCTGATAAACATTACTAATTTGCAGCTTTCTTTTTCCTTGATAGGTGAAAAACTCTTATTTACCAAAGGAGCAGAATCTGCTATTCTTCCTTGCAGTAAAAGTGGTGAGGTAGAAAAAACAAGAATTCATGTGGATGAATTTGCATTGGTATGTTAGAGCACTGCTTTCAAACTTTCTGGTAGATTGGTAGAGGTTCTGCTAAATTAAGAACTGGTTAGTACTATAACAAATATAATGAATTTATATTCATAATAAACACTATAATAAATAATATTTCAGGTCCATTAATTGTGTGGGGTTGAGAACTGATTCGAATATATGTTGAACCTCCCTAGGCAGTTTTTTTCAGAACACATGGGCTGGACATCCTGGGGTAGCTACCTGATGCCCACCCTATTTATGGGTCTTGTTTACAAAGCTGGGACTGATGGAAGTGTCTGATCTTACTCCAGACACTCCCATCAGCCCCAGCTTTTGTGATCAGATATTAGAGGAATTGTAGTCAAAACATCTTAAGGGGACGGCATTTGGAAAAATAAATCATTCTAGTTTCTTCAGACCACATGTCTTTCTCCACTTCCCTCTCCTCCTACCTCTCCCCATAACCAGTTGCCTGTGATTTAAGTGGCACTTTCTTCTCCCAAAGAGAAGAGTCTCTTCATTGCCTTCCAAAATTAGCATCATTTGACTGACTGCAGACCACATCTGCCCTTGATGTTTGGTCTGTTTTGCCTGGTCTGTGCTTTTCCTCTTCTATTAATGGGAGTAAAACTGAAGATGCCTTGTCAAAAAAGAGTCTCTTTGAGGCTGTCTGGGAGACGTAATCTGTCGGCTTTCATTTAATTAAGCAGCACGCTCCATCAGTAAGCAAATGTTTCTGTCAGTGTCTTATCTAATAATCGCTTTCTATTCTTTTCACAGAAAGGATTAAGAACTCTTTGTGTAGCTTACAGAAAATTCACAGATGAGGAGTATAAAGAAGTGGAGAAACGTCTTTTTGAAGCAAAAACTGCCTTACAGCAACGAGAAGAACAGTTGGCAGATGTATATAACTTTATTGAAAAAGACTTGGAATTACTTGGAGCTACAGGAGTAGAAGACAAGTATATACTTCCTATCCTGTTTATTTGGAGAAAGAAATTCTGGCACAAGCAGACTAGCTCGATGCTATGAGCATTGATATAGCTTGAGGCTCATGCTTCTCTCCATAGATAATCATAAATGTATGATTCTTCCCATCAGCAGAAGGAGGGAAGATTGCAAATAGGGCCACAGCACCCAACCTTGTATGAACAAATATCCTATTTATTTTACAACAAATATTATATTATAACAAATTTATAAATATATATTATAAATTATATATTTCTATAGTTATATTATTATATATTAT